ATATATATATTTTGCAGGCAATTAAAAGTATACAGCAGTCAGTAAAACTTTGGCCACTGAGCCGATACTGTTAGGCTGGACATTTAATTATTATTAACATTAATTATAAACATGATTGATTAACATCAACGGTAATCAGAACGTTTGTTATCTGCAAGTTGCATTAACACAGGCCAAACCTCACTTCTGAGAATGTTGATATTCTTGCTTTTCTTCATTGCAGCCACCGCATTCCCCTTTAAACACACATACTTACTCATTCACCAGGACCATGTAGACACACACACACATACCCATGAACGCACACCAAATGTATCTTATCCAGGAGATACAATGATACAACATTTAAGAAAATATTTTCTTCAAAATATGTTATTTTATTATGACTTTTTTCGATACATGTAGCTGTAATCAGTCGAACCATTAAAAACATTGCAATATCTAAAAGAGAAACCAATGAGCATTTTATTTTAAAAGACTAAACTTTTTTTTTCTTTTTTGAAGATGTATTAATAACTCATTAATAACTTAAAAGTATTATTTTTTTCATCTAATTACTTGATTAATCATTGAATAATCAATAGAATAATCAGTGTTGTATTTGAAATGGAAGGAGGAAAGACAATGTAAAAGAAAAACAACGTGAAGAAGACTTTCCCTCATAGTCAGAGCCCCCTCAAATTTCAAGACAAAAATCTCCCTCTGGAGAGAGTGTGGTGTGCCTTCGCCTCTCCCACCAGGGCGTAACTGGAATTTGCTTCCCTGCCTCTGAACCCACCCTCAACACACACCTGTGGCTCACTCATGCTGATTCTGCTCTGGCTTCTCATCACGAGTATTATTCCTTGCAGACTACTTAAGATGGCAGGAGATGTTGCTTCCTCGCTGGATCGTCGCACTACCTAGCGTTGGTGTAGCCTAGTCTAGAGTTTCCTCTTAACGTGGTTTTCCTTTGTGTACAGGCCTACTGGATTCCCTGCCCGTCTCTCCTGCTGCATGAATTCCTGTGGACGTGTGTGAGTGAGCATAAGCATTCTGGATCGGACTGCCTGAGTGAGTCGCGGACTGTGTAAAAGAGGAGCGTGTGTGAGCCTGCCCTGGACCTTCCCTCACCTTCAGACACCTCCCCCCCGGAGCCCCATGTTGCCTGTTTACCATTTCCACTGTATATATGTATATATCTTCACTTGGTGACACATTGTAAATAAATCCTTCTCCATCTCTCTAAACTTCAGAGTCCTGTGAGTGAGTCCTCTGCCTAACAGACTGTGACAGTTAACACCCAGGAGGTCACTATACCAAAAAGCATTTAAACACATACAAGATTTAAATAAGGCAATGGCGACAATGAAACACAGGTCACTGAAGTGTTGCTACCCACATCATAGTTAAATGCAATCTGGACCCAAGCAGCAGTGACTGTTAGCAAATAAATATGATAAGAGCGGATAATGTTTATACCACTGATAATAACAAGATAATTTCACTTGAGAGAGGGTATCCCTCTGACATGTAATTGGTGCCAGCAGACCCTTTATACTTATGCATACTGGATTACTTATCTGCCAACCTGCTGCCAGGCCAAACAGATCAAACCTGTGCCCCACTCACTGGCCTTTGGTGAGAAGCAGCAGGCTGGAGTGGGTATCTTGGTATCCCTCAACTTGCTGCCTGTACGTTGGGGGTTTTCCAGTGGACGAGAGGGTTTGTTCCCTGCAGAAAACGGGTCCTCACTGTTGTCTGTGCTTACCATTTAGAGTACCTGACCTTCTTGGAATCACCGGGTGGGGACTCTATCATTCTACTTGGAGACTTTGATGCTCATGTGGGCAATGACAGTGAGACGTGGAGGGGCATGACTGGGAGTAACAGCCTGCCAGATCTGGACTTCTGTGTAAACCACAGTTTGTCCATAACAAACACCATGTTCGAACATGAGGGTGTCCATAACATACTACGTCATAAGTTAATAATTGATTTTGACACTCAGGTGAACAGAGATGTTGAGCTGTCAACTAATCACCACCTGGTGGTGAGCTGGATCAGGTGGCAGGGGAGGATGCTGGACAGACCAGGCTCGCATGAAAGTAAGGTCAGGATACACTTGGAAAGCCTGGCAGAGACCCTGGTCTGCAAGACCCATGTCCCTCAGAGTGTTCTGTGGGATGTGCTTTGGAAGTCTGTCCCATTGCTACAAGCCATTTGATCCTTATGTAACCATTGCAAAAGCTTGGTCCACATAGCTGGTAATAAGTCGAACTCGTTCCCGGTGGGCGTTGGACTCTGCTAGGGCTGCCCTTTGTCACTGATTCTGTTCATAATTTTTATGGACAGAATTTCTAGGCGTAGCCAAGTGGCGCAAGGCTTCCACTTGGGCAGTCTCAGACTCTTGTCTCTGCTTTTCACAGATGATCTGGTTCTGTTGGTTTCATCAGGCGGTGGACTCTAGCTCGCACTGGAATGGTTCGCAGCCGAGTGTGAAGGAATGAGATGGTCCATGGTCCTCAGCTGGAAAAGATGAGGACTTCAACCACCTGGGAGGGGCTCAGAGTACCGCTACTCTTCCACATAGAAAGCAGCCAGTTGAGGTGGTTCGGGTGTTACGGGGTAGAAGTAGTTAATAAAGTTAATGCTTTATTCTGTCTTTCATAGGTTTGGTTTTATTATATGAATGTTTGTATATAATTTGCATACATTTATTTTAAGTTTTTTTTTTACTTCCTACCCACACGTTATTCAAAGCAGCACACTGCTTACACTGCATAAAAAATGGGAGGGGAGGGCAGTCAGAGGAGTCACAAAGCATGTACAGAAGTACCACGAGTATGAAGAACCTAGCAATTCATCAGAGCAACAAGATGGATAAGCCAGACACAATCCCAAGGAGATTGGTCCTGGAATGGTCTGTGGAACACTCCGTGGAACTGGAAAGGGAAAGGGAGGGCTGGGTTCTCTGCTTAGGCTGTTGCCCCCACGACCCAGACTCAGATAAGTGAGTCTGGGTTGTGGGTCACTGATTTATCCTTATTTAAGGACTTCACTGTCTTTCAATTACATTTTTAACCTTTGCATTCCATGCCCATTCAGGATTTATGTTACTTTTAATTTCTTTCTTCTTTACTTTGATTAAGTAAACATTCAGTGGTCAAAAATTACTTTAGTAAAAAAGATATGACAAAAAAATTCCTTACAGGCTTACTGATTTTGGGCTTCTGTATGACTGCCATAAATTAAAGGAGTAAAAGTACTGACTGAATGATCTACGGCAAATGCCTTTCTAATTCCTGCTCATAGATAAACACAGATTTTAGATTACTTTCAGTAGAAGTTTCATGGTTATTGTAGTTCACTAAATTTGGTTAAAATTTCTTTTGAGTAACTAAAATGAAATTTCAACTCATAAAATTAAAACCAAACGTGGTGGTTTGAGTTTTGGTATTTGAACATTTAGTTAAATTTGTCAACATAACAAGCATATAGGTGCTTTGTTGAATATGTTTATTAAAAAATGGGATGCAGTCAGATCCACAAACACATGGCAAAACATAGAAGAGCCACATCAACAGGACAAGACTCAACAGGACAAAACTGAGACACAGGACAAGACACTCTTTTGAGTATGCCAATGTTCACATTTTGGACCGAGAAGACAGATGGTTTGAAAGACGAGTCCATCTATCTCCACTATGAATGACCGTTGTTGAACAGGGGTAGTGACTTATAACATCAGCTATCAACCACCTCTAATGCAGTCCTGACATACTGTGCCAGGTGCTTGAACCTCCACTCGCACCTTGCATTAGATGACCTCATTAGGTCACATGATAGAACGGGGCCGTCTCACAGTGGTTTCATCCTTATCTTCCACCGATGATAATGACCCACACCATTTTTCACCCCTTTGCTCATGTGATGACACTCATGATTAGTAATTGGTATCTTTAAAAGCTTCACTTCTCTCTATGAATGACAGATGAAATGTCTTCGCAAACTTAAAGAACTCCTTTTGCCTTCTTTTCTCAGGATCCTAAGATCACAGTGTTGAAGTACATCTCAGTATGTGCATGTGCGCACTAAAGCAAGACAATGACATTTAGAATTTTACAAAAACACTGACACACCCACCTAATCACCTGCCTATTCATAGTGTTGCTGCTCCACCTTCTTTTCGACGCAATGCAGTTGCATTTGTGTATTTAATACAGTCACTGTCACACTGAGAAAGAAGCAGGACCACACTGCCACCCATACACCTCTGACCGACTTATCAAGGTAAGAAGCATGTGATCTTTTCTCAGGTTAAGAAAAACATTCAATCATATAAGTGGAGAAAAAAAAGAGTAAGAAAAAATTAAGAAGCTATAATGTTAAAGCTATGAGCAGCGTGTTTTTTGTTGGTAAAATGTCCCCAACAAACTTTTTTTTTTCTTCTATTTTATGAAACAAGGTTATAAAATTTAATTCAGGTCAGTTATAACACAGTCTTTTTTTTTAGTCAGTGGTACATCTTTGGGCCAGGTTTATGAAACACAACAATAGGTGAATTTTTTTTGTTGTTGTTGTTTTTTAAAAATAAAATCAAAAGGCAGGTGGCACGGTGATGAAGTGGTTACCATTGAGGTCTTTGGGGTGTTTCCTGTGTGGAGTTTGCATGCTCTCTTTGTGTTTGCATGGATTGTCTCTGGACACTCCAGCTACTTCCCACAGTCCAAAGATATGTGTGGGGTCAATTTTCAGTTGACTATGAAAAAAGTCCATTGAAAGTTGTTTACTTTGTCTTTCTGAATTGAAAAAGAGTCATCTACCAGGTAATGAGCGAGTCAAAGTATTAAAGCTGAACCTTTGCAGCAGATAGTCAAAAATAAATAAATCAATAAAATTAAAAATGATCAATTACTGAATAAGACTCTACTTGAATGCAACATATTTCGAAAAGAACACTAACATTCAAAGAACAAGATTTGCATTTTTATCAGGGTATTTTTTTTAAAAACACATGCAAATGAAGACAGCACCATAACAGATTTAACCAAACATATAAAGCTCAAAGGCATTTAGTGATTTGATGCAGAGAAACAGGACTTTTAGTCATGTGAGAGTAGGTTCTACAATTTCCTGTAAAAATTTACAGTGCTACCAAACCTGCTCACTTGCATATGTTGAAAGAGTGTGATGTGATTCATTGCTTCAACCTGATAAGCAAGTTTTCAAACATTGGTGAGAAGGGATTCCAGGTTTCAGTCTCGACTTAAGCCCATTCCTCTTGACTTTGGTGGTTTAACTTTTTTTCACTTTGTTTTATTCAGGGGGAAAAAATTGGATTTCAGAGCTTTACTGTAATTTCTATTTTCTATTTTCTTCATTTCTGTTTCTATAGAAAGACACAATGGAAAAGGGATTCCAAATCCCAGCACCACCATACCCTGGCCCCCCTCTGGACTACAATGCAGGAGTCTTCCAACAAGGTTACCAGCAAAGTGTCCAGCCTGTTGTCCAGCCTGTTGTCCAGCCTGTTGTCCAGCCTGTTGTCCAGCCTGTTATCCAGCCTGTTGTCCAGCCTGTTGTCCAGCCTGTTGTCCAGCCTGTTGTCCAGGCCTGTTGTCCAGCCTGTTATCCAGCCTGTTGTCCAGCCTGTTGTCCAGCCTGTTGTCCAGACAGGTGAGAAATTAGAGGTTACTAGTCATATAGTATATTTAAATACTTAAATACAGTGCTCTTAATTTATGATTCATTAATGTTACTTTAGTCTATGTGGTTGAAGGTTAAATCTGAATTTGGTGTCACAAAATTCCAGGTTTAGTGGAGTTTTAGTAAGGATGTATAATTATTAAAGTCATTTTTGGCTGTGTTTTGTTGTTTCTCGCAGTTAGCCAAATGGTGGTGGTGCAGAATCTGCCAAAATGCGTTCCTGGACAGATGTTGTGCCCTTACTGCCACACCAATGTTGTGACTAAAATTGAGTACAAAATCGGACCATACACCTGGTTGGTTTGTGGCCTATTAGGAGTCTTCTTGTGAGTCAAAACCCCACTATACTCACACATACACATGAAGAAATTTGAACACACTGCAAAATGTCATATAAGATTATTTTCTCAGCAACATTTAAGTAAATATCAAAGTTTTTTGGTATTTGTGTGTGACCTGTTTCATCAAGTCATCATTATACCAGATGGCCTGATGAAGGTAGGACAGAAAATCTGTAGTTTATCAAACATTTCAACAAAATTTGATCAAAATATTGATTTAGTCTGCCTGTAGTTTAATGGTAGTTTCAATTAATCAACACCCTCAAGTGATAACTGTCAGAATCTAAACAAAGTAATCCAGGTCAAAAACACTAGGAAATCAAAATTCAACTAATCTTAAAGTAAAACAAAATGCGAGGTAAAACACAGCAAAGGGTAAGGGGGAAACTATATAACTATTAAATAAACAGAGTATAATGAGGGAACAGGCAAAAGGTGGGAGGAGCTGAAACCGCTCACAAATAATTAGACACAGGAAGTAGAACTAAATACAAAAAGCTAGGGACAAGATGTTGTCAAATGAAACAGGAATCAACTAACACTGACCTGGACAAAGACTTGTGGATTTGAAAGACAAAAGGCAAAAAACAGAGACAAAATAGATACAATAAACACAACGGCTGCTCAGGAAAAAGCACAAAGACAAGACTAGGACATAAAAAAGAAGTTTCATAAGCAAGAACCCAGTAACCAGAAATATAGAAAACAAAACTCAAAAGCACCAGGAAATGCTGAACTCAGAACAAAATAATACAGAGAATGAGCTTAAATCATCTCTGAAATCCAAAAAATAAAACCACAAGTCCACCACACTCAAAACTAACCCAAAACGCTGGCTCGAAGACCCAGGACCATGACAGAAAGTTAATAATTTTCTCAAAATGTAAATGATCGCACTCACTGCTTTACTCACACTCTGGGTCATGTTGTGACATATGACATATAGTTTACAGTTAATCCAGAATGCTGCTGTGAGACAGGGACCAGAAAGAGAGAGCATATTTGTCCCATATTAGCTTCTCTTTGAAGAATCCCTGTTAAATTGAAATTAATATTCTTCTCCTCGAATACAAATTCTTAAATATTCAGACTCCGTCTTCTCCTTCTTAAGACCTTATAGTACCATATTATCCCTATGTAGCACCTTGCTTTCACACTCCAGGCTTACTTGTGGGTCCCAGAGTTTTTAAAGATTTAATTGGCAGCTATCAGGCTGTTTCCACAAAACCAGTCCCAGAGTCAATTTGAAAGACCGACACTCTCTCTGCTTTTAAGATTAGACTCAAAACCTTTTTCTTTTTTTTCGGATAAAGTTTATAGTTAAGACTGAATCAGGTGATCCTAAACCATACCTTATTTATACTGCAACATGCTCAGATTGCTGCAGGACGATGTGATACACTGGAGTTTGTGAGGCACTGAGTATTTCTTATTCACTCTCCTCTCTTCACTCCCCAAATTATTATTAATATTCAATCTGTAGAATGAATGAGTTGATGGGCATATGATAACCGTTTTGATGCTATTCTTGTTCACAACAGGTGCTGGCCTTGCTGTTTCATACCGTTCTGCGTCAATGATTGCAAGGATGTGGAGCATTCCTGCCCCTCCTGCAGCGGCATTATCCACGTCCACAGGCGCATGTGAAGCAGAACTGCAGTGTATGTTCTACTGAAGCAACAGCAGCAGGGCATCTCTGTGCAAACAGACATCCTCTGTAACCCTGTGCTCATCCTGTACACCTGTTTCCATGTTTTAACTGTATATAAACTGAACACACTGAATATGTAGCTATGTAGAAGAGCAACAAAGAAACTCCCTTCCTTTCCTTTTAACTTAAGAAATCACCCTTTAAGAAATCACTTTATATAAATTTACTGTGAAAATATGAGTTAGTTATCAGGACTGTTTTTTCTTCTTCTTTGTTTTGGTGACAGTGGTGTTGTCTCTGAATCAAATACCTCAACGTTAAAGTGAAGGAAAAAAGCCTTAAATGAAGGCGTGTGGGTTTTTTAAATAACATACCCATAAGTAAAATCAAATTTAGATGTTTTAGCATTTAAAGCTATTCTTTGATTTTTCATTTAGATGACATATTGAATGTTTTCATTTAAATTTCTGATATTTTAAATATTAATATAACACTGATGACAAGATTAAAATGTCAGTGCTGACTAATTAACATTAGTCATTGTTTGCGACATTGTTCCATTTTTTTTACAAACACTGGAACCATATTTTCACATTTACATTAATAAATAAATTCACGTTTTTACCTTTTTTATAGTTTTTACCTACAACAATCATGTGATATGTCTTGATTTATCTGTTTATATTAAAAACCTTTACCGAAGGTGCTGCTTGTTAGATGTAATGATGATCTAGAAATAAAATTCAAATATTAATATAAAATAAACATAAAGGCATTTATCACCGAAGTACAAAATTTCTTGACTCTACCACTGACATTTGCAATGGGTTTTAAGTCAATAAAATTGTTACTGAAGTAAACAAGCAAGGATATGTCTAGATCAAAATGTAAGTTTTTGAATATGCAAACAATGCAAAATATTGTTTGTTAAATGAGCAAAATAGAGAAAAATAATTAGAAGAGCATAATCATTTGAGTGAGGCATACATTTTTTCATTAAAATTAAATTAATAGGGGTATATTTTCACATTGACACCTATCACAGAGTGAGAAGTGTCAAAATAAATTCATGGTATGGGATATAGTGCCTCCCATCTGCTACATTCAAAGTTTTTTTTTTTTTTTGTATAAGTTTATATCCTTGCTTGTTTACATCTGTAGACCTCTTAAACTTTTCTTTGGTAGCCCAGAAAGAAGAGCATTACAATGATCAATCCGTGAAGACACAAATGCATGGACAAGAACCTCTGCGGTGTCGCTTGACAAAACTTGTCTGATTTTGGCTATGTTGCTCAAATGATAAAAGGCGGTCTTTTTTTATCTCTTTTACGTGAGACTCGAAGAAGAGCACCATGTCGAACCACATGCCCAAGTTTTTTACCTTGTCCCTGCAATTTATGACACTGTCATCAATTTTCAAGATGAAATTTTGGGACAAGTGCTGAAATGTTTGTGGTCCGATGACCATCAACTCTGTCTTATCAGTATTTAGGAGCAAGAAATGATCTGATAACCAGCCCTTAACTGCAGATAGACAAGATTCTAGTTTAGAGACTTCAGCACAATTTTCAATGGTTAGAGGAACATAAAGCTGCAGGTCATCAGCGTAACAATAAAAAGTTACATTAAAAGAACGTAAAAGAACACCAAGAGGCAGCAGATACATAGAAAACAGGAGGGACCCCATGCCTCACTGCACAGGTCTCGGGAGAGAGATCATTTTTAAAACCAGCAGTCTGAGAGCTCCCAGACAGGTAAGATCTCAGCCATGATAAAACATTTAGCAGGTAGAGGATCCAAAGAACAGGTTTTACATCGAGCTGCTTTTACAAACTTAGTTAATCCAGACAGAGAAATAACCTTGAAGTCAGAGAACAGTTCATCAGCACCAACAGGCAAAGCAGCAGAGTAGTCTAATGAAAAGCTCGAGGAGGGAGTAATCTGATTCCTAAGTGTTTCAGCCCTGTCTCTGAAAAACATAAGAAAGTCATGAGCTGTCAAATTAAAACAGTAGAGAGATGACTTACTCTCTGTAAGTTGCGACACTATGTTGAATAAGAGTTTTGAGTTATGTTTATGACTCATGATGAGATTTGAGAAATTTGAAAGAAAGAAATTTGCTTTCGCTGCAGACATCGCTGATTGAAAAAAAGACATTGAGTCCTTCCAAGCCTGGAGAAATACTTCTAGTCTGGAAGATTGCCAGCGACGCTCTGCTTTTCTACAATTTCTTCTCAAATTCAAGAGCTCCTCATTTAACCAGGGCATATCGTTTGTTGACATTTTAACTTCTTTACAGGTGCAACAGAGTCCAGTAGAAAAAGTGTAATATTAACGTTCGCAGTCAAGGTGTCCACACATAACTCCTGGGTAAAAATGGGGTCCAACACATCAGGTAAATGTAATTTAACTCCAAGCAATGCTTCGGGGCTAATATGACGAGATGATCTCAGGGGTAATTTTCCCTTGTCAGAAGCTGAAGATTTAGGGATTAAAATATCAACTAAAATTACTGAGTGGTCTAAAATAGGTAAAACACAGTTTTCAGTCACCGATACATTCAGTCCGTAACCCAAGACAAGGTCTAGGGCAGGGGTCAGCAGCCTTTAAGACCCAAAGAGCCATTTGGACCTGGTTTCCATGCAAAAGAGAACACTGGGAGCCGCAAATACTTTTTGACATCTAAAATGAAGATAACACCGTATATATTGTTTTATACCTTTATGCTTTGTGTGAACAACTAAGGTGTGTTGCTTATGAAATCCATGAAGTGCTACAGAGAAAATTACATTTTGAACTCTTAAAAAAAATATAACAAAAGGAAAGACACCAACCTGAACTAAAACGATCCATGTAGCAAACAAAAACTGTTGTGAGCCGCCACCCTTATCTCGCCTTTGGGCTTTTGGAGCCTTGACTTGACTTTTAAAAATAATTCGAAAAAAAAGCACTATGCTGCTGAAAAATGAAAAATAGATCTTTGCAAAATTCTGCCTAAATATGTATTTTACCAGGTTAATGTGTGTGGCGGGGCGTCGTCTAGGGTGTGGCCTTTACATGTTGGCCCAGACACAGATTGTGTGAAATTTGAGGAGTCAATTACATTTAAGAAATCTTTGACCAGGGGTTTATCCTCACAACACAGATGAATATTAAAGTCCCCCCATATAAGAATCCTTTCATAGTGAGCGATAAAACATGTCAAGAAGTCTGAAAATTCCGAAGGAAAAAAGTCGTTATATTTAGGTGGACGATAGATGACTATAATTAGAACCACGGGACAGCTTAAAGTCAGGAGTTGGGACTCAAATGAGGTAAAAACACCAGGACTTTGTATCTGTTTGCACTTAAAACAGTCAGTGACATCTAACGTAATGCCAGTATTTGACACAGTGGGTGTTGACAAAAGAGTATTTTCAGGAGGAGCTTTTAGTATCACCATTTAAACTCCTGCATACACACCATCCACCCATGTCAGGTACACTACTAGTCTCCTGACTTTAACTCCACTTCACATATTTAAACTTCTTCAATCAACTTGTAAACAAGCAGGTAGTTAACATTTGATAAGCAGGATGATTTGATTATAGCTGCCAGTGCAGAGCTGCTGTTGTATAATATTAGTGCATTTTGAGTATGCTTAAAAGATCATTTCTACCTTTTCTAAATAATAACAGCATCAGTGATAATATAGTATAGTATATAAGTATATTATAGTTCACTGTCCTTATTATACTATAATAAAAACGGAGTCCTTGCAGGTTCAATGCTGTCTTTTCATGTATGTTTTGATAGCAAATTACACTATTGATGGCCATGGTTTTATTGTTAATAATTACAATGTAAATCTGGGTTTCCAGCCATGTGTCCATCCATGCTTTCTTAGATGACTATATTTTTAAAGACAAACATATTTTGCCTAATCAATGTGCATTTTACGGCGTATATTGTAAGGATGCTGAAGATAAGACATTATGTCACCCCCATAGGAGCCCCTATATGAAACATAATAACTAGGGTTCAGTGTGGCTCTGGACTGAGAAGAGACCTGAGGTGGTATAAAGCTGGAATATGCCTCTTTTTTGGAATGTAACAATAGTCACTCCTAGATTAACAAGATTAGGACTGATGAATTCTGTTAGCGCTTCTCCATTTCTGTCGTAAATGCTCACAGGGACAAAACAGGAAACACATGCAAACTCTAAATATCAACCTGTGAAGGTTTGTCAAATATTTTAAGTCTGTGGCAAAAGGATCTATTTATTAAACTGCATTCAAACTGCATGATGTCATCTTAATTAACATGAGGTCAGGACCAGTGTTGGTCAAGTTACTTGAAAAGGATAATTAGTTACTAATTACTGATTAACTCTCAAAAAAAAGTAATCCCATTGCTTTAATCATTACTTATTTTCAAAAGTACTTAGTTACCTTTCAAAAAACATGATAAACAACCTGAATACGTAATAAAGCAACAGACCTTTTAGCACAGTTCTATTTTTTATGCATAATCCATCATATAAAATTGAATCAAATGGAAAGCCTCTTGTTAAAAATTGTTTTATTAGTTTTAATTTTTTAATTTTATGCACATTACATTAAGCAAAAATTAAATTATATGCAACAGTCTTTGGCTTGAAGAAATTTGTTTAACATTTAAACCTATTTTCTGCATATTCCAGCATATAAAATAAAATAATGTTTTGTGTTTACACTCGCTCTTTCAAATAGCTGCAAGTAAAACACAGCAAAAAATAAATAAAATCAAAGATTCAGTGGCACTAGGTCCTGTTGCTATTCAAGCTATTTTCACCTGTTTAGCAGGAGTGGGGTGGGTGCCCGGTGCTGCAACAGTCATGTCAGTGGGCGTTTCCCTGTGAATTTCACATTCCCGTGGTAGCTTGCTAGGTGCTTGCACAGATTTGAAGTTTAATTTTTTGCTGTAGAAAGTTTTCTTCCCACACAGAGTGTACAGTAAACGCTAATGTTTTTGTCACTTTTTACAGAATCAAACTTAAAGTACACACAGCTACATTCACACCTGAAAATATCTTAAAAGTTTATTTTGTGACCCATAAAGACTAATATTAAAACTACGTAGCTGCCTGCATTGTTGGATACTGGAGCCGGCTGGGCCACGCTATGAATTCTGGAATAGGTTGGGCCACGACGGATACACCGTCTCGTCCTTCAACTGCGACCTGTGAAGGATGCAGCCTATTTTGGGAGATCTCGCATAA